TATATATATATATATATCACTGTAGTATAAAAGGCTTGAAAGTAAAATGATCTTGATGTCTCTCGTAAGTAAATATTCCTCTCAGTATCCCTTGTCAGCAAAAATAAGCAAATTGCAAACCCGCCTTCTCCATTTGGATCGTATTTCTAGCAAATTTTTCAAAAAAAATTGCCTCTTGTCTTTTTTTTAAAATTCTCTAAGTTTTAATTTGGTAATATAGCAAGCTAATATCGAACTTCGCCCTTGAGTAATAAATTTTTCGATCCATCGTTAATTTATTACTCAATCGTTAGTGTTGTTCAATTAATCGTTAGTGTTGTTGCTTGCGCTTTCGAAGGTTATTACTACGGATACTACATAGTTTTTAAAATCCTCAAAATTCATTTAAATCCATGGAGTCTAGTAAATCAACTAAATATATTTTTATCCAAAGAAAAAATGGCTACAGAAAGAGCAAAAGTTCCATTGTATATGACGTTAGTAGCCAGAGGCTACTATTCATAACGGAGACATATCACAAAGATTTCAATTCTTTCACTTTATGTTTCTTACTTAACGCAAGGACAGGCATGAAGTCACGTGGAACATAAACCAACTAGTTATACATCAAAGTTACCAGGTACACAAAACAAAAATACGCCACGATAATAATAAAATACATAAACAAATAATAAATCTAAGTTAAATAAAATACTTAGACCAAAAAGAATTATATTTTAACTAATTCCATGCGTTTTACAGAGCGGTATTTGATTAACTTATCGTTAATTGTTGTTATTCATTTACGTTGCACTAGAGCTGCAAAATGGGCATTGGCGACTGTCTGGGAAACATCCGTGAGGATGTTCCGAAGACATGCCGTACTAATTTTGAACCTCTGCAGAGGGGAAGTCTCTCCCCTGCTTCAGTAACCCGACGACTTCAGTTCGCATGACTCGTTGAAACAGTTCAACGAGGATCAATACCGCTAACTCTCGGACCCTACGCAGGCGGATCCAGGTGGTCACCCACCCACACACTGACAGCAGCCAGTGATGCTTGACTTCGGAGATCTGCTGGACATTCGTTAGTTAACATTCTAACTTATTAAGCGAAACATAGCTCAACTTTAACTCGCCATAAACGATCAGCTGACACTGACGTCATAAGTTACCTGCGTGGTTGTCGTTTTTTCTTAAAGTGCAAGTACCCAATTGTTAATCTAGAGCTTTGCAGCTAGATAGCAAAAGAAAACTATCTGCAGAACCATATGAAAACTTACTATTCCATCCAATGAATCCTTTGGCTATTTGTTCCTCTGATGGTGTTAAGAAAGCCCCAGCTAAGAAATCGGCCATTGCTGCAAGTAGTATCAATAAGAGAATAATTTGCGCCTGAAAAATTGCTTGCATTAATTCATTACATTCTATTATAAAACGTTGTCATTGACAAATAGTTAGATCCTTCAAAATAGGAAAAGAAAAGATAAAGGGAGTTAAAAATTGAAGCGGTCTAAAAAAAAATGGCAATCGAAATTGTATGAACCAAAAGAAAGATAGAGTAATCACGAAATGGGAGTAATTGAAGTGATCAGATGTACAACAAAAAAAGAAAGGAATGATGAAACGAATAATATAATGGTAAATTAATAATAAAATAAGAATTCCACGTCGGAAGAATAACATAATGAGAATAAAAATAAATCAAACGAAGAACAAGAATACGAAAAAACGAAAGAGAAGTAGGCAAACATCAAAAATAAAAAAGCACAAGGGAATAGACAATAGAAGGAAAGTAAGGTGAGGCAACGAAGTGGTAGTTATCAAAAAAAGAACGTTAGTTAGAAAATAGAAAGAAGATGCAGACATAATAAGACCGAAAATAAGAAGACAGGAGGTGAAAGTATTCCATGAAAAATAAGAAGAAATAGCGATGGGGTTATACTAAAAAGAACAAGAGTGAAAAGAAAATAGGAAGAAGTAGACAAAATGAGTAAAATAAAAGGAAATTGCATGGAGAAAGTAGTAAAAAAAAAAGTAGATCAGTAAATAGGAATAGACTGATCGGAGAGAAAGTATTAGAGAAGTAAAAGAATAGAAAAAACGATTAGAAAGTAATCAAAAGAAATAAAAGTAGAAAAAGATGAAAAAAACTAATCAAAAGAAGCGAAAAGACGATGGAAACGTAGTCAAAAGTAGTGGAATAAGAATAAAGATGGGGCAGAAAGTAATAAAAAACAGTAAATTTAAAAAATAAAAAAAAAAAGAACGAAGAGAAGGTAGCCAAAATAAATAAAGTAGGGAAAATATTAAGAAAAGAAGAGAAATAAAGAAAATTAAAGTAGAAAAGACGAAGAAAAAGTAGTCAAAAGAAATAAAAGATGTGAACAAGAGTTAGAAAATCAAAGAAGTAGATAAAAAGAAGACAAAATAAGTAGACGCAAGAAGAAAGCAGATAAAAGAAGGAAAATAAGAAGAGAGTGTGTTAGAAATGAAAAGAGAAACAAGACTTAAAAAAATAGGAAGAAGAGTTGATAAAAGGAGTAAAATAAGGGGAAATTACGTAGAGAAAGTAGTCAAAAGAAAGTAATAGAGCTAAAAAGGCAGAGAAACTAATATAAAAATAATAAAAAAAAAGTAAAAAGACGATGAAAACGTAGTCGAGTAATATAATTGAGAGAATAGACAGACAGAAAATAGTCAAAAGAATTAAAAGCTCTAAAAAACAGAAACTAATCAAAAGAAGATAAAAAGAAGCAAAAAGACGAGGAAAACGAAATGAAGAGAAGTATAATGAGAGAATAAATGGGCATAAGGTAGTCAAAAAAGGTAAACTTAAAAGACAAAAAAAGAAAATAATAATAATAATTAGAAAACACGCAGTAGTCATAAGAAGTTAAATAAGTGAAAAAAAGAAGAAAAAGTAGACAAAAGAAAGGAATAAATGTAGAAAAGAGAGTGAGAGTGATATTGAAGTGGTTACTAAGAGAACAAGAATAAGAAAACGTAAAAAGAGCATAAGAAATAATCAATAGAATAAAAATAACTAGGAAAAATGATGGATAAATTGAAACCTATGAAGCTTTCGAACACATTATACTGATACTGTTTATAATGTAAAAACAATTATTTTTTAAATTCTTTTTTAGAGAAAAATAATATATATTAATACAGAAAATAGAAGAATGTGGTTAAAAACTGCTGTACCACAGATACGTATAATTTTTTTTATTTATTTATTTATAAACTGATTCTTCCTTTGAATAATGACTGATTCTTGACGAAGGGATTGAAGGAATTTATTTTTCTTTTACTTAGTTCACTAGCTAAATAGAGGACTACTCATAATTAATGTTGCTATTGCAGCATGCAATATGTTTTTAATGTTAAGCATCTTAAAATTAATCGGTGAATAAATACGACAAATAATTATAAATATTAAAATTTTTAATCTAGGGCAATTTATTTAAATGCTTATAAATATTTTAGGATTGAGAACAACAAATGTTTGAAATAAAATATTTTGACGATCTTGAAAAATGACTAAATATGAAATAATTTAAAAAAATTAATAAAGTAACACAAAATAAATAAAATTTGTACTAATGCGTTTCCTATATCATTGCTGTAATTACGATCTTTTAAAATATGATTTAAAAGGAGCTCATTTTATTCCTTATACAGCAAAAAATCCAATTTATGATATCAAATATTCTAAAAATGACCGATGCTATAAAAAATCATTGATAGAAAAAAATTCCCTTGTTGCATTCTGTTTTGGAGACTAGATATTAATTCATATTATATTTCAAAATTAGTTACGAAATGCTGCAACAGATGGGGCTAAGTTAGAAAAAAATTTAAAACACTGTTTTTAAAACAACTATCGTTTGCGTCAGCAACATGGAAATGTTTGGGGACAAAATTAACACACGCCGATGCAGATATTTCATTCGGGATGGTCTGACATGAAGCAGAGAACATGGCCTCAAAGTTTTCCCTAGGCAGATGATGTGCTATCTATTGATAAACTTTGTAACTAATTTTAAAACATGGGGAGGGTAAATTTCTGATTTCCTAGGCAGAATGCAGTAAGCTGTGCATTTCTCTCTTCTTCCGTTTTTCAGATATTGATTTTTCTAACCAATGCTGTTATTTAGACCCCTGGTATAAATAAATTAAACTTTTTTAACGTTTCACACGAGGTGAGGGGACTCATACCCGTATTTAATTGTTTAAGAACGACATACTTTTGTCTCCCACTCAGTTCCAACGATGGCGATTCCCAGAATGACCACAACAGTGATGCAGCTTATAATCCGAATGTCATTTATTCCATTGTCCACTAAACGCAATTCATTGTCCTGAAAGAAAGCAAAATGCAGACAAAATATAATCTAAAATAATTTTCAAATTCCGAAATCTCAATTTACTTTCTTTGTAAAAATTAAAATATAGACCTAATATTTAAGAAGAACAGTGTAATATAATTAAAGTCAAAAGTAACACAATCAAAAGAGGAGGAAATAATGATACTTACCAAACACTTCGGCATTTAACAAGACGACAAGTAGCATAAATATTTAAAGAATCGTTGCATTTAAATCTTAAATTCTATGAGATTTATTTCTCGGATCGAAATTATTCAAATCAATAAATGATTGAGCATTTTGACGTGCTGTAGAATATTGGATTAGAGTATATTAGGGAAAACATCAGAGCACTGGAAACTGGTTAAAAACACTTGACGTTTAAAAACATGAGTGAAATATTGCGCATTTGCATACCAAATGGAAACTGAAGCTTTAAAAATCAATCAGGGTGCGTAGCCAAATTTTTCGACAAAAAATAAGCACCTTTTAAATACTTTAGCAGTCAAAAATATTTTTAGTCACTATATACAATTACAAATTGCCTATTAGTTTTCAAAGACTGTACATGATCATGATAAAATAAGTAGTTTCTGACAAAGAACTCTTTTCTTGATTAGAATAGCAACCATAATAAGATCCAACGATTTTCCAGTTCGATTTCAGAGGGTGGAAAATGAAGCCTGAAATTGAGAATATCTTTCAAAATACAGCAGTGTTGCACATGAGAGTGCAAGAATTTCAACGAACCCAACTCAATAGACACGCATACAAATACAAACTCGCAAGTATTTCATGAAACATGAGAAATGATTGACGCTACCGACCGTGGTAAGCCGAAATGAATTGTGTTTGAATGAATTGTGAAAACCATGCTTTTGTATAATACGTGACGAAAATCCACATGATGAAGAAAAATTACATTTTTGAAAAGGGAATATTAAGCACTTTTTAGAAATACACCATGAATAAAGTACCTCTCGGGGCTTTTTAATAGCGAAAATCAAAAATAAGCACCTTCAAGCACTTTTCAAAAACACTACGCACCCCATGTCAATGTAAAAGAGTACCGAGCAACTGTACATCAGGAAGTTTTACTAAATTTATAAATAAATAACATCAGTGTAGAAAATACTGGTTACTGCAGCAATTATTATCAGCAATGAATGGTAATTTTATTAATAGTAACCATGCCAATGAAAAACATACCGATTTTTCTTCCCCGATATCTTCCTTAATCTGTTCTTAATCAATCGTAAGGAAAAGAAAATTTAGAAACAAACATACTTTTACCTCAACTACTAAAAAAATTAATTAATATTTTGATATAAAATACTATGTTGCATGATATTTAGAGTATAAATTTCATTTTGAAATTTATTTTTGAATCTAAACTAATTTGTATCGCCAAATTTGAAATCACCACGTCAAATAAAAACAGAAAAAACTAAGATAGTCCTTTCTCCCCTAAAATCTAAAATAAAATAATTTTCAATTACCGCCTCAATTTGAAACGCCTAAATTGGGACTTAACATTGTTTTTGTAACACAGTACTGTATTCTCAGTTTTTTTTTATTGCAAGTGGAAAAAATTTAACTCTCTGTATTTCATGATCATTATTGTTTTTTCTTAACAATTATTAAAAAAATTTTATCATTCTTCTACATTATAAATTTTACTGCATAATATGTTCTAATTTGCGGAATCTTAATATGGCGCCCAATCCAACCATCTATACACTATTTCTGTATCTTATTTGCATGATACTATGGTTTGATTTGAATGGAATCATGATTCAATCCAACACCAAATTTGGGATTCGGCGAATTTGCTTTATGTTATGGTGCAAAAACTGATATTAAGGTTTTACGTTGGGTCAGTTTTTCTGAGTATTTGATATTCTGCGATTCTTATTAATTTTTATAAAGACAGCAACAGCCTCTTGTGGGCGTTTTTTTTAAGTAAGATAATTACGTGACCAGCGACCTTGTGCACAAGCCGCCGTTACTTTCGTCCATCAGAAGCTGGGTTGATTTCAAACCACCACTAGAGGTTTTTCTCAACATTTCTTTTACCTTTCAGCCACTAATAAAGATAGGCATTCAATTTTTCTTAATACGTGTATAAAATAAATGTACTCACATAGATTAAAACTTGGACTGTCTCTGCGAATCCAACAACATACATAGCAACGGCAACAGCATTAGCCACAGCGAAGATGAAACCTATGGACCCACCAAATTCAGGTCCCAAGCTCCGAGATATCATGTAATATGTTCCTCCTATTTAATTTGAAATCTCATATGAAAGGAAAATATAAATACTATACATGAAATGAAATGAATTAAATTATATATATTATATATACATCGAACTACAGCTATATGTGCGTTAAACAGCGTGCTTGTAGCTTCGTCTTTGTAGCGTAAATCACACCAGCATTAACGTAACGATACGTAGCATGTAAGATAAACGTGAGCATGCGCAGTTGCTTCACTCTTACGTACGGGAGAGTACGGAAGCTAACGTAAACATGCGAAATCTCCCTAATATCTAAGCTAAAGTAAAATTTCAGAAAATTGATTTAAAAAAAGTGATTTTTTAAAAACAAATTTGCGATATGTAGGTTATTATACAAGAAATGCCAAATACATATAAATTTCAATTTTTATTTTTTTGATGTTTACGTTGATTTTTTCTACTGCACAGCAGTATTGGTCTTTAGATTTAACTACACCCTTTAAAGTGTATTTCAAAGCTCGTTTTCATGTTAATTTAAAATTAAGTACTTGTTAAGTCGAGTTAATTTAAAATACGAATTTTTGGATTGTTTAATACCGAATTCGGTGAGCCATTACACCACGCTTTTTACAGTTCAGACCTAGGCCTATGGTGAACAGCGTCACACTATATCAACATCTTGTTATAAATTTAAACTATTTATGCAAAAGAAATTTTTTATTTAAGCAATTTTCTACTTTTTCAAAAATAATTATACTGATGTAATTACATTAATATATTCAGAAATTATGCATCTTTTTTAAGCGAGTATTTTTCTTTAAAGCAAAATATATATAAAATTTTTAGTAACATTTTCGTCGAAGGCAAAAGAGACATTTTTTGGCTTTTAGAAACAAATGCAATTTATTTTTATTAATGATTGTCTGAATAAGTGATTAAAAAAATTCTGCTTATTAAGATCGAAAAAAAAACGTCAAAAAATTCAATTTTATGCGTGTATAGTCGTTTTTCACATGATTAGAGAATTGACCTAAAAATTGGAATATAATGGAGAATAAAGGGAATGAGGGGGGGGGGGATCTTACCTCCTTTTACTTCTCCATTTGTGCAAATGGCCGACATTGAGAGAGTTGTTAGAAATGTTACCACCGTCGCCAAAAGAATTATTAGACAAGCCAATCCTAAGGAGAACAAAAAATCTATTATGGTAAAAATTTAAGAGCCAGTTTCTTTACCAACAACAAATCAGGTTTAGGAGCCTGACATTTTTAATTTTTTTTTTGAAATGTTCAAGTTATGTTCTTTATGTAAAACTGTTAGATATGTGTTTTTTTTCCTCATTATTTTTTCTATATTTATGCTAGTCCTTCCATATGAGTTATATTCTAAGATTTGAGGCATTCATTTACGATGTTTGCTGGGCCAGGATAGTCGTTGTAACACAAATTTTGAGCCCATGGCACTCTTAGACAAATGCACATGTTGATCTAGAATGATATTCCGATAAATTTGGNTTGGCGTCATGGTGGCTTCCCTTAATTTTCAAACTATTCCTCTCATCATTGTGACGTACTAGTATCATGGGGGCTTCCCGTAATTTGCATATTATTCCTCTCATCATTGTAACGTACTATTGGCGTCATGGTGGCTTCCCTTAATTTTCAAACTATTCCTCTCATCATTGTGACGTACTAGTATCATGGGGGCTTCCCGTAATTTGCATGTTATTCCTCTCATCATTGTGACGTACTATTGGCGTCATGGTGGCTTCACGTAATTTGCATGTTATTCTTGAAGATGTGTGTAATAATTCTAGAGGCAAATTTTTTTTCATTAGATTTCCATTTCCGTGTGATTCTAAATTATCCTTAATTTATGGACATGAGTGGCCCTTAACTTTGAGATCCACATTTGATTAATGGAATACATAAATAGTTATGGGAAAGCTGTAATTTTTTTTGTACGTGATTTAGGCCCAATATGAATATCTGAAGTTAATACCCTCACCCAAAGTGAGTTGTAGTTTCTATTAAGAATTTACTTTGTGGTAGGTACTTAATTTACAGTTGCACTAGATCTGCCCAATGGGTTATTGGCGACGTTCTGGGAAACATCCCTAAAGGTGATCCGACGACATACCATCCCACTTTTGATCCTCTGCAGAGGGGATGGTTCCCTGTTTTGGTAGCCCAATGACCTGTGAGCGAAGTCGAGCACTTTTGCGGTAGAGCAGTTTAACGACGCGCACCTTCTGTCCCTACGCAAGCTGATTAAAGTGGTCACCCACCTGCTTACTAACCGCAGCCTTCATTTATTGTTTAACCAGGATTCTGTGTCCCTGCATTCAAACTTGTATCACGTTTCCAAAACATATGTACCTTTGAAGTTCACAAAAGAAAGAAAGAAAATGGTATACTAAATCGTGCTCTACATTGTGGGAGTTTTCAATAACCACTCAAAAATATAATGAGATTTCAAAGTTTATAAAAATATGGTTTCTTTAAAAAAATAGTTTGATTTTAAAAATTAATTCGTATTTGTTGCCAGCGGTACAACTCTGTAGCGTTGATGTAACCTATGCAAAAGTCCGGGAAAATAATTCTAGCGCATTATATTACACTATAAGTCTTAAAGATTCGGATTCTGGAATCGTTCAAGTTCATTAAGACTATTTCATACAACTTACCCATTCCTGCTTGTCCGACGACCCAAGAGAGACGAAGGAAAAGCATTACACCCCATATATTCAACAGACATCTCACCTAAAATTAAATGTAATAAATCAGTCCTCAAAATAAGAGCCCGCAGTGACTTCATAAGACTCCGTCAAGTGCCACAAAATCTGAATATGGAAATCGTACGTCAAAAAAAGTTTGACGTTGAAGCCTTCAAAAAAAGTCATTGCTTATAGACCTCCAAATATGCTTAAAAAGGATATTCCATTTACCTTCATTTGTTACCGGATAATTTTTTTAAAATCATTCTAATAACAATATATTAATGCACATCAAATTTCGCTAACAAATATACAACACATAAGCAAACGAATCGCGTAGGAATACAAATATAATAAAAATTAGACTTTTACACTCAAATTGTTAATGTAAATTAAATATATGTAATATTAATATTTATTTTTACAAATCATGTATAACATGGTGATTAAGAAGTCCTGTTTTAGTACAGAATATAATTTCGCGTATGTGCAACTGCAAATAGATACTAAAATAGAGTTCCTATTTTAGCTGCTATTAATGTGCACATTTACCCTTGGGAACATTTTAAATTTGAGTAAAAATGATTATTCAAAGTACTTTAATAAAAAATCTAAGTGGCTAAAACGATATAGAGGTTCGTCCCATGATCTATTACAAGTACGAAGGACCAACTCTTTTTTACGTAAAACTCTACATATAACAGCACGATTGCCCAGAATTATTTTATAAATTTAAGTGTATTGTGAATGCAAATACGAAACCAGTCTTAATTTACATGTTTACTGTACTTGCTATGTTTAATTTACTCCAAAAACTGCCTTACTCCGTTATTTCAACTCCTGGTAACCGAAAACATTTTTTTTTCTTTTTAAAAATCGAGCTCCAATGTTCTACTCTTATTAGTATCTGTAACAAATTAGATTAAGTTTGCTTCACCAGTTTTTTCGTTATCAGACTTTAAACATCTCTGCTTTTAACAAGACCTCCCTGTACTAAAAAAATATAGTTTTTAAAATGTTTATTTCAGTTTATTATGTAGTGATCGATTTAAAAATTCTGCAAAATTTCTAACTAATCGAACGATGTGGTGTCGCAGTTTTCCATTGTTGTAGATGCATTTTTACTGGCAGGAAAATCACATAGTAGGATCCAGTTCTCCCAATTTAATTTTCATGTTGGTTCTATTGTCATCAGCACTAAATTGATATAAGTCATAAAGGTATTGTTTTTCTATGAATATTTTTGTTTCCTTAATTTAAAGGTATTTACCTGAACTATTATTATTACGTTTTTAATATTGTTTGTTTTCTAAATTAAGAGTTTAAGGGGATTGTTTTTATTATTATTATTAGAAAAACGTAATTCTACGTTACATTTTAAGGTAAAGTTATTCAAATCGGTGTCTGATCTTATAAACTGATTTACAATTATTATTTTTTGGTGCAAATTACATTTATATACTACTATGAATTACCGCTGAAGGGATTCATTAAATGATTTAGAACTTAACGTTTTGCTTCATGCACGAAGTGATTTCAAAAATTGTAATTTAAAATAGGTCCATCTATTTGGTAAGTGGGGGGGGGGTAAAGATTAGACAATGCCAACCTTCATCTATCAAAAGGTACCTCAACTTAGAATCGAGTTAACTTGTCTTATATACTAGTGAATTGGATTGTATTTTTGTAGTGGTAGACACAGCACAGTACTCCCCCACCAGAATTATATCTGTGATAGAATTCGATGAACAGAAACCACAAGTCGACTCATCGCTGTTTAGTGAGAAGCCGGCAGAGCTGTATTAAGATCACAGTACTTTTGCTGATCATGGTTCAGGGTCATGGTTGCTCCTGTGATGCCGTTAGCAGTCGAGTGTATGCAGGGCGACGTTGTATGTGATCGAGACTGAGTAACAACAGCGCAGTCGCGAGTAGCAAGTCAACTGTTCAATGTGAACAATCCATCAAAGTAGGCTTGTTCAAATAGAATTGGTAGTTTCTGTCAAGGTAGGCGTATTCACATCACGTCCGGGTCACCAATGTGGGGAAAGACCATTAGACAATGCCAACCTTCATCTATCACAAGGTACCTCAACATAGAATTGAGTTAACTTGTCTTATTTACTAGTGAATAGTATTTTTGCAGTGGTAGACACACTACAGTAAGCAACAATATTAAATTACAGCTGTGAACTCATCAAATTTCTTATAACAATATACTTTTAATTTTAAATGTTATTTCAAAAAATTTTTATTTATAAAAGTGATTTATGTTTACTAATAGATCTTAATAGTATCACATGGGAAATATTTGTACGTGGGAAGTGGCAGAATACTAGTGTTCTTTTTTGTACATATATTTCAAGTTGAATAATTTCAACTGTTTTATGCCAAGAAACAACAATTATTGCGAATCAATCATCGCGGTTAGTGAGCGAACAGGGGGGCTTAATCCCCCACTTCTGAAATATTTTTGTACTTACCAATACTCCTTGTATCCATCCGAATTTTACAGCAGCTTGCTTTTCAGTAAATGCCTTTGAAAGTCTTCGATCAAAAGTCTGCAATAAATGTATAATTCTATTACTAAATTGTATCAACAAATAACACATAAATATACATCAAGGTAAATATAGTGTCCCAAAGGTTCCGTTATCACATGAAATGATGCTTTTTTGCAAAAGCCCATTTCATCAGTATTTTTCATCGCCACTATAATTAAGAGTTCGAAATTTCGTCGGAAACCATAATGTGGCTTATTTTATTTATGTCAGCGAATACATACTCCAAATTCATAACTGAACTAAATGCTGTTCCTGGCCTGCTATTGTCAAAGTTAAACCTAATTTTCAAATTATTAGCGATTAAGGAATATAAAAGCTGTTTAATATTTTAAAAATAAAGAGTAGTTTTTCCTTAGTTAATACATTCACAGTTGAAATAGGACGGATAGGCTAAAGAAGCTACTTTTTCCAAGTCTCATAATGTATATTTAAGAATTTAATTAAGAATACATTCGTGACGAACGTATGCATTATTGTAATGTTTTCTTTCATGTTTAGAAGGGAAATGAATTTAAAAAATAAACACAAACGCAATTTTTAAGAATATCTTCCTGTGGCAAAATTTCAGTGAAAAACTATTTTTGTTTTTCGTTCATGTTTGTCTTGCTGAAACAACCTTAAACAAAAAGTTTTATCGAAGAACCGTGATTCGTCATTTTGTTTCGAAAAATTATTTCTTCGACATAAAGGAACTTCTTTACGATACAGGTTTATACCTTGTATACAGAAAAAGTTTTATTTTTTCTGTCACAAGAGTTTAAAAATACAAAGAATTTTTAAATGAATGCAAGAAAAAAATACAATAATTTTTTTAGAGAGAAGAAGAAAAATTGTTAATAAATAAAATATTTCTAAAAAGTATATATATAGTTCTAAGTACTTGCAGCTTATGCGCAATGAATAAAAATTATTATAATTTTTCTTAATTCTCTTTGTTAATCTCTGTTTTCCTTTATTCCTTTTTTGGCTTCATTGTGATATATACACTCCTGATATTTTAAAGAATCGAATCATTTCGAGGTAGCGAGTTTCCGAGATAACAAGCTCAGAGCAAAACATGTTCTAAGAAGTAGAAAAATATATTCTGAAATAGTACCCTAAAAAGTAGAGTCATGAACCATAAGAACAACTACTAATAATTATGTATGCAATGATTATTGTCTATACGTCTAAATACAGCCGTGCTAATTCTTAAAAGTGAAACAAAAATAATTATGCATTCAATATAAAGGAATTGGTTTACTATAGACTTGCATTGTGATTTTTCCGAAAAAATTTCATCTTCTATAACTTCTTCATATATATATATATCTTGTCATTAATCTTTATTATTTTCCATGTTTTCTCAATATTTTAATATTTTAACTTATTATACTTACAGCTTATGCGCAGTTAATAAAACTTATTAATTTTCTTCATTTTACTCTCTTTTCTTTTTATATATGTACTAGGAGGCTTCGCCCCCTGCTCGCTAGCGCTCGTCAACCCCCGGAACTGCTTTCGCAGTTCATTTCGGATTGCTTCGCAATCCGATGCTCGCTTTGCTCGCTCATTGGATACGTTCTTAACGTCTAGCTTTTGTATACTTTTTTGAACACTGAAGTTCCAAAAACTTTTCCCTGTAGAAAATTCTAAACCTGTGCGTTTCAATATTAATTTGAAATTTCAAACAGTTCGCATATTTTTCTTAATCACACTATTCTAAATTTCAGTTGTCGAGAAAAGTAACTGTTGTAAGTTTTGTTTTAAAGTCTTTCCCACCAGAGGGCTAAAACCATGTGTTGTAAAACAATATGAAATAGTACTGAACGCCGGATGTAAAGCATCGGCTTCGATGAAGATAATTTTGTGAGAATTTTTTTGATAATTCGGTGAGAATTCACCCGATTAGACATATGATGCTCACTACGTGCTCTTGCTCGCCGAAGCCTATCAATTAAAACGTATTAACGTTTTATATAATATAGATTAGCCATATGATGCTCTAAGTGCTCTTGCGCGCCGAATCCAATCAATTAAAAATGAAAACTGTTGCCAGCGCGAGAAAAGAAATATCATCGGTTTTATTGATACATACGTACGTATTAGCGTTTTATATAATAAGATAGACAGATACATATTTTATTACTAAATAAATATTCAAATTAAAAATTGAATTTCTTTTCGCAACAAAGTTTCTTTATTTTAATTTAGGATATTCTTTTTTATGAGAGAGAAATAAAGTATTTTGTTTACTTCTATCGAAAATTTATAATCACGATAATTTCTTGGCTACCACTTTTATGATTTAATTGCTAGTAGGATTATTACTTCATTTTTTTATAACGGTTATCAAATCCATAACGCGTCACAATATTAAATTCGCATCTTTTGATGTCTATTCGGCTGATGTTTTTACAAAGGCTTATAATTTATGATTGCAATAAAGTGTCTCACAATCTTAATAACAAATATAATCTAACTTAATGCAGTCTGAAAAAAAGATGAAATATTTTAAAATAGAATAAAAAATTTGAAAAAATCTTAGATTTGATAAAGGAACTAATTGTGACTTACCAGTTGATAATGTAAATTATAAAAGAAATTAAGTCGCAGCAGATCAAATGGAAGTAAAAAATAACGAATTATTAGAAATTATGCATAGATAATAACTTTTTCAACAGTGAAAGCAAAAAAATAGTTTAGTGAACGAAAAAAGATTCTAAATTACACAGGTCACCGATAATTCACTACGCATAAGCATAACAAAATAATGCGATTATATCGTGATCATAACAATGCATTATCGAATACGATAATGTTGCAATCATTAACTATAACAATGCTTATCATATACGGTATTATCACGATCATTATCGATAACATACAAAAAGAAAATATCGTGAATATAATACATAACGATAATTATTGAATATAATATATTGCAGACATAACATAAGATATAATATAAGTGTAGATAAATTTCATTTCGATTACCAAGATTTTGACTAATATAGAATGATATAAATTATTTAAAGTGGAAAGTATCACGATACATCGTAAAATATCGACATTTTTGTCAATACATCGCGATTTTAAATTCGCATTTTTCCATTACAGCTGTGTTTCCCAAAGTGTGGTACGCGTACCCCCAGGGGTACGGGAAAAGTTTAGGGGGTACGCGTTCTTATGCGAAATATCTTGCAACAAACGAAAATTTCAAAAAATTTTATTTAAAAACAAAGCTAGCCATGAAAATGTACGATTACGAATTTTTCTATTGGCAATTTTTTGCAGAGTTAACAGTTAATGATTAGTGGTGTCAACAGCCAGTTATGAGTTTTAACTTGTGAGTAGTTTTTTTTATAGTACAAAGTACATTCATTTTTATATTAGTGGTACTCAGCGTTACAAATAATTTAGAGAGGGTACACAAAAGTCATAAGTTTGGGAAACACTGCGTTTTTAGGAACTAATGTCCGTGTTGACGACAAATTGAAAAAGTCGTCAACGCATGATTAATATAACCGAGAAGTATCGTTAATATTGATGTAATTTTTTCAGTTACATGTGAAGATTTTTTTTAAAGAAATCGTCGCCTTTTCATAGAACGATAATAAGTGCGATATAAAGTACGTCGATCGTTTTTAAGAAATAAAAAAAAAGGAAAACGATTTCAAATTCATTTCCAAAAATTTTTAATTTAACAGCTAGAAGTGTGACAAGATTACGAAATCAAATCAAGAAATCTATTAACTTTTATTCAAATGATCCGACCGTGAAATAAGAACGAATTCTACTTTTAACAAGAAAAGGTTGAAGTGAAAGCGATGATTTGCTTCAATACTTTTCTCACAAGGTCTTAAATGAGAATCGTTTGCAACGATGCGTGGATTTTAATTTCTCGGAACATTTCCGAAAATTCCGCAGATATCGAATTTCACAGAAACACTTTGCAGAGTGGTTTTCTTCATTTAATTTTTTTTCTTCTCCGTTTTACAAGTAAACTATTTTGATTTTAATTTCCTTTTGTCTCATCTAAAGCAAGAATCAAGCTTAGATTTTGAGAACAAAATTAAATTATGCCAGTATTTAAGTACTTCATATAAAATAATGTCGTTATAAAAGAATAACTTTTAAATGTTTATTTATAACAGAATGCTTATTTTATCATTTAGACGTATGGAAGAAAAACTTTTCAAACTGTTTTTGTATTTAATTTTCTTTTCTGTAAAGTAAGCTGTTCCTATTTTATTTACGTTTTGTTTCGTTCCAAACCAGCATGGATTTTAAAAATAAATTATAATTAGGTCGGTATCCTGAATTTTAATGTAACACAATTCTATTAAAATATAGCTCTTAAATGTTAATTTTATGTCGCATTTGGGTACTTGCACTTCAGAAAGACCTGCCATACCCACACGTGACTATGACGTCAGTTCCAGCTAACTTTTATCAGCAAAATGGCTTATTAAAGTAGAGTTAAGTTTCTCCACATATGTTAAAATGTTAATTAACGATAAATTAGTTAAATACAAAGGCGTATCTCACATAAAATCAGTTTAAAGATAATTTTTTCTCGTCTACTTCTTTTACTTAATTTAGATTTAGTATTTGTTAATGTATTTTATTTTAACTGTGATATATTTTTGTTTTGTGTACCTGGCAACTTCGATGCATAGTTAATTGCATCGTGCCTTTCATTATGTAAAGTCTTGATACAAATATATCGTGAAAGAATTGAAATTTTTGAGAAAGAATCTTTGTGAAAGAATTTAGAATGTGTCCCTTAAGAGAATTGATACTTGAACTGCTTGCCTTACTCGAAATAGAATGGAAAGAACAGTTGTTAACTTAAACAAATGGCACGTTTCAATCACCAATCAGGATCGAGATACCAACACTACGTCACTGGCAGATATCCCATTATTTGCATATTAAAATAAAGTTCTTAAAATCTGGTTTTAAAAGTTAAGTTAGAATAGTGGTCGAAAGTTTGAACGTTTTGTACATTTCGT